AGGGGCATGGTCTAGCAGTACCTACAGCCACCCAGAGGTTACCAAATTGTATTTTGAAGATTTAACACAAAATATTTAAAAAATTATGAAAAATGTCTAAAAATGAAACATATTATTACTATTATATTGTATTATTATTATTATTATTATTATTATTATTATTATTATTATTATTATTAATTTAGGGAACTGAGCACAGATTCAATTCCCTAGATCAAAAGCCCATCACCACGTACATACTAATAATAATAATAATAATAATTATTATAAAAGTAATAACAATAATAATAATACTGTCATAATAATAATAATAATAATAATAATAATAATAAATAATAATAATTAATTATTATTATTATATAACAGTAAGGAGAAATTTCAAAAGGCTGCCAGCAATTGGCACCACCATCAGCAAAACATTGGTAACCACTACTAGTACACTTCACCTGTCTAGGCTTACTAGTCTATTATTAGGTTAAATCTGCCCGAAATGCTTCGGAATGATATTGGCTTTCTTTGCTCCAATCACCTACAAAAACGTCTTACAGTGATAAACACCTACAGAGTACCACAGTCAAACATTAGCCATTTTAGTGAAAACCTAGGAAGTATAACTGATGCACACATGAATAAAGATCAGTTACTACTCCCAGGTGACTTCAATATAAATCTCCTGCAAGACCAGGACCCACACGTTACTGAATTCACAAACACTATGAGTAACTGCTTGTTGCTACCAACAGTAACAAAACCTACAAGAATTACAAAGACTAGTGTTTCCCCATTGGACCACATTTGGACCAACACAATATCCCCTTTAAAAATCAGGCATAATCACAGATAATACCACACCTCCTCTTTCATAACCTCTCTCATAACCAATCTAGGTAAATTACCCCAAGACACTACTAAAGTAACCTTCAGACTTCATAATGAGGCAGCCATTAATAACTTCACAACAGCAATAACAAACATCGACTGGCTAACTGAGCTAGAAATCTATACAGATATTGACGAATGTATTAATAATTTTCTAAAAAAGACCCAATACCTCTATAACAAGCACTGCCCTAAAAAACCAAACAGATTACAGCTAAGAGACTAAACAGTCCCTGCTAACACCCACCATCCTCAAATCCATAAATATAAAGCACCTATAAACGAAAAACAATACAGTATGGGTCACATAACCAAGACCAAACCAACGTTACCTCAATCCTAACCAGCCTGTATAAGAAGACAAAAAAATCTGTATTATGAGACAGATTTATCCAACTTAAATAGGTGATATAAATAAAGACCTGGAAATCCCCTATCTGATATCAAGAACAAAAAAAGATATCAGGAAACAGAGCATCAAACTAACAAAACCAGATGTAACCCCCACCCCCACCAACTGAAGCAGCAAACAGACTCAATAGTTTTTTTCTTCTCCTCCACGCATAGGAAAAAACTTCTGATAACATCCCAAGCTCAAATAACCTACCCAATACAGACTATCCTCACTGGCAACTACCCGAACACAATGTTCCTAGCTCCGACTAACCCAAACAGAAGTCTTCCTCTTAATATCAACACACAAACAAGACAGATTTAAATACCTTATACACCCTTTAATACAAAAAAGCTTCGCAAAGTGCTGTCACCAATCATTGGCAACACTCTTTAACAAATCCATCGAATCCTCTACCTTCCCCTCAGTTCGCCAAATACGAGAGTCACCCGATACATAAAGGAGAGATCAAACAGACTTGGAAATAACTATGGGCCAATATCCAACTTTACACCCACTCTCTAAAATCTTTGAAAAATTAATTTCAAAAATGAATCAAATCCTATCCGCTCATCTCCCACACAAACATACACAACCCCCTGACAGTTTGGTTCAGGCCTAATAAAAAATTGAAATGATCTATTATACACATGCTAGAAAAATATACTGAACTCGAGAAAAAATGAAGTCCCCATTGGGGATCTTCATTGATTACGTAAAGTCTTTTGATACAGTTGACCATGATTTGCTGCACATAAAATTGTCACACTATGGTAAAAGAGGGCAACTCCCTCAACTACCTAAAGTCTTACCTTAGCAACAGAACCAATATGTGGTACTTCAATGGAGCAAACTCTTTCCACACAGCCATTACAGTTGATATCCCACAGGGAATGTCCTTGGCCCTCTTTTTTCTTTCTCATTTACATTAAACGACCTATCAAATTGCATCCAAGTACTCAAACCCACACATTTGCAAATGACACTACATACATCTTCTCTCACCCAAGCTCCAGTCATGCTGGCAAACTGTAAATATCAAATTAACAAGAAATGAATATCTACCTGACGATACTTAAACCCTTTCCAGGGTATTCTGACGTACTAGTACGCTTACGCTCCAGGGGTTATTGACGTACAAAATGCCTAGATTCTAGCGCCTTCAAATCTAGTTGAGAGAAAGCTGGTTGGCCTACATATGAAAGAAAGGAGCCTATGTTGGTAGTGTGCACAGTACAAAAAAAGTCCTGCAGCACACACAGTGCATAATGAGAAAAAAAAAAACACCTACCATGTTTTTTGGTTTAAAAACAGCGACTTTGCGTGTATTTTTGTATGGTATATATGGTTGTTTATTCTACTATTTCCTTGTCTCATTTTATAGAATGGAAGAGATGTTTACAGACTGGAGATGAATTTGATTAGGTTTTTCATAATGCAAAGTACTTTGAAATGGAGCTCAAATTAGCAGAAATGTTCAATTTATTTAACCAAATATCAAAAGTAGAGCAAATCATGCCAAGCATCCAAGTACACTTGAACTGGTGAGTCTAATATTCTTTCACAGGTCACTGATATTATTTATACCATTATCTACACTATTTCTTACACTAATACAGTAGTCTACATAAACAGTAAATCTTCTATTTTTTGGTGAGAATAAAAATT